AAACACCGAGGAGAGAGCTGTGAGAGGCTGGGCACTGGCTGGCAGCCAGAACACCTCCCTCAGAGCACCGGGACCCATCCGGTCACGCTCAGATGCCTTTTCTTTTACACTGACTGTCCATTGGTGTATCTCACACCTGTGATCAGCTCCCTGATACTGGTGAGCAGCTGCAGACCAGTGAACTCTGGGCAGAAAAGGAGGAATCGCAGAGGCCACAGCACGCTTTGAGCTCCTCTGGTCAGATCTCCTCACACCCATGCACGGAGAGGGTGACTGCTGAGGGGATACCTCCTTGGTGGCCCCAGTTGCAGGCCCCTGAGGGAGTTCCAGTGTCTGCAGTGGGTGACGTGGAGCGTTTCCCCACAGGCTCTGTGCCGGCGCTCTGAGGGGCTCCGCCCGCGGCTCTTCCGCCTCGCCAGCGAGACGCTCGATGACGACGAGGCTCTGGGTAAGGGGCAGCCCTTGGACCTCCTCGCAGGCAGCTTTGTCTGCCTTGGCTTTGACGAGTGGGCCGTGCCCTTCCTCTGAGAGGGGTGGTGCTGCTGCCCTGGCAAAGCTTCCTGCTCTCCCCTTGACCATGCCCGTGGGCGTGGCGTGAGTCCCCTCCCGCCCCTCTCCGGGACAGCCATACACCTTCACTTGGAGCCCAGAGGCCAGTGGGGAATCCTGTGTCTTCCAGCCAGGTGGTTTTCAGAGTTTGTAGAGTGCTGGTGTTCAGAGAATTGAAGGCTTTTGAGGGCTTTTCTTGACAGAGATTGAAGTTCTCCCTGTCTATTAACACAGGAGGGAGAAGAGTTGGGTGTTTTTGGTTTTGTAAGTAATATATTGATGTGAGTCATAGGAACAGAATCCAAATCCCACAGTTGTGACATTTAGCCCTTCCCCGAGGACTGCATTTCACAGCCTTGTCTGTGTGCCTTGAAACCCTGCCTGGAGTGATGTGCTGCTGAACAGATGTCCTAGGCAGGGGGTGTAAGAGCTCCGCTCTGCCTCAGCAGGTTCATTCAGCCCCACGGGTGCCAGGGTTCATCAGCTGGGGAGTGCTGGGTCACAGGCTCAAGTACACCCCAAAAACTTGTCGAGAACAACGTGTGTAAGAGATGGCAGGAACTGTAAGCACTTCAGAGATAGGATCAGATTTCAAAGTGATCTTGATAAATGAGAGAGAAGCCTGAAATCAGCAGATGTGTGTGCAAAATGCTGCGCTTCAGAAAATGGAGTGAAGAACTGGTCAGGAGCTTAGGGCAGATTTCCCTGCTAGACTTTGCTCCAGGCATCCTTAGATGCACTGCCCCTTCCTGAGGAGCTGTCTGGAGTGTCGTGGAACTGACCCTTGTTCTAGAACATGAAGATTTCACCCCTTCTCCTGTCTTCCAGCTGAGATACTGCAGGCCAACGACAAGCTCTCGCAGGCACTCGCACAGTGCAGGCAGGTTGTAGCCAGCCATGAAAACGGTGCTGGAGGAGGCTCAGGCACCAGCTCTGCTGATGGCCCAGGTGAGGAGCACCCTGCAGTGTCCCACAGCAGCTCTGCCCCTGCATGGGTGGGCTCTGGAGGGGAACACTTCTCGGGGAATAAGTGTGGAGGAAATCCTTTAATGCAGGCAAGCTGTTATGTAACCAGTGTTTGGTTTTACATGGGGTTGATGGTAAATATTCCTGAAGTTTTTCACCTGTGAGTGCTTTTGGGACTGTTCCTTTCAGGAGGTTTCTCTTTCTCTCTTCCTGCTGTCTCCAAAGCCTGCAGGCCAGCCCCAAGGCGCATGAAGAGCTACACCCTGATTGACTTCTCCGAAGTGGAGGCGACCCAGGCCCTGCCAGGCCAACCTGGCAGTGTCCCCAGTGCCTCCCGCCAGGGCAGCACAGCCTCCTCCTGCCTGCTCGAGGAGGAGCTCCACTCACTAGGTCTGTACCTGCAGCTCCCTGCAGCATCCCCCTGGCTGCTGGGGCTTGTGGCATTTACCACGTTGGGAGAGCTTGGACGTGGTGCTGAGAGAGAGGAGAGCCCTTGTGGCCAGGGAGAGTGTCCCAGGTTCTCAAGAATGTCGTTTCTTTCATGGTGTTAGACTGTAGTCAGACTGGTGTTAGACAACAAAGGCAGAACCTCTGGAAACAATCTGGTTTCCTGTAAGTGATCTGTGGGGTTTGGCATCTTTTGTAGGTCTCGGCAACTCTCCCGTTGCAGAGAAAGCAGCGCCAGATTTCGGGTTAGCAGAGGTGAGTGATCCTCAGGTACTTCAGTCCATCAGGTACAGAGGACAGAAAGCAGACGTGGCTCTTGACCTGGCTTTGTCTGGCAGCCTTGTTTTTTTTACACCACTCTATTCTGAGGGGAAACTGGGATCCTGCTCTGCAGTGAATGTCTCAGGTGCAGTCTGCAACCAGATTGCTCATAATTATTTCTCCTTTAAGTAGTGTTATTAAAAACAAGGTTCTTTCCAGTGGAACAAGTCTGGTTTTTGCTGCTGTTCTCCAGCATGAACCAGAAGTGCCTTATTTTTCAGCCTGCTGTGCACAATGGCCATGGGGAAGCTGCCAGTGCTGCTCAAACACCAGGACTGCAGGAGAGCTGGGCAGAGAGCTCTTCAGAGGAGAATGAGTTCCAGGACTGGCTTGATCAGCTCTCTCCACCACCCAGGACCAAAACATCATCCCTGTAAGCAAACTCTGTAATACAGTCTGGCTTTGGAGATGGGGAATTGTGTTTTGCAGCAGAAAACCTTTCAGTTACCACTGGTCAGTGATGGCAGGTTATCTGTGAGCACTGGCTCTTGAGCAGCCGTTATGCACCCGCTAATTGCACCCTGTAACTGCACACTAGGACCTTCCCAGGGCCAGAAGCTTGGGGAGACAAATCCCATGGATCAGTAACAAGGCAATCTCCAGCTAGAGGAGCCATGCCCTTAGTCAGGTCCTTTAGTAATAACCTGTGGCTCAAAAAATACTTTCCCAGCTTTCTCCAGGCTGTGACCAAGCAGTTTCTAGGCATTTGGTGGAAGCCTAACAGAACATCCACAGGTCTTCAGAGCAGGTGACCACTGCAATGCACTTATCCAGTCTGCCATAATACAAGCCAAGAAAGCTTACTGGAGATTCCTGGCTCCTTGCATTGTCTTTGGGCTAGAATTTACATAATCTCATGGACTAGAGCTTCAGACAGCCTGTGCCAGGGGAGTGTAGGCTCCCAAAGCCCTGAAACTATCACAATAGCAACAGCAACCAGAGTCTGCCTTTCTGAATGCTGAAACAGCAGCTCCTCCATAGGAAATTAGAGTTTTTTATTTACCAAGACCTCTGAGAGTGTAACCTTCTGCATTACACCTAAAAGTGGTGAGGGACTGGGAACACCAGTGGACGTGGCAGAGGACAGTACATACCATGCAGTCTCCCCAGTTAATTCCAGCTTTCTACATGCTTCTCTTTCCAGGGATTTATCACCAATGACATTGCCCTTTCCAGATCTTCCAAATAGCTCAATGGCAGATTCCTCACTCTCCAGCCTAGGCCACGAGCTGAAGCCTGCTGCCTCTTTCCATCCAGCTCCCCATGATGCTTCTCTAGAAAACCTTTTTGTCCCTTTAAATTCAATTACACCGAGTAAGTGCAATGATTCCTGTGCCCCAGCTCTGCTTACTGGAGGCTCACTAGGGCTCTTCTGGGAGTTTTGCAGGGGAGCAAGCCCAAGTAGCTTCAGGCTGTGTGGGTCAGCTGGAGAAAAGTAATGACTGTCCTGTGAGGGACTTGATGTAGCTGAGGATTTGAGCAAGTGCTAGGGAGCATACTGTGGAAATGCCCCTGTCCTCCCTGCTGTCAGTCAGGAGATTCCTGCCCTGGCTAACCTGGGATGTGCTTCTGAACTGTTTGCCCATACAACCTTTAGCCAAACTTGAGGCAGTTCTTCTCCAGAGGCCCAGAAGGTATCTGTGGGTGGGAGCTGTCCCCCTCCCCAGAGCAGAGCTGTTCTCTACACCTCTGCTTTTGGATCCAACACTATGGCCTGGCCCTGCAGCCACATCATGAGGACACCCCAAGTGCTGACTGCTGAAATCTGAGCTGCTAAACCTCCAGTTCAGACCTTCAGATTTCTTTCCCTGCTTTAGAGGCAAACTGTAAATCTCAGGCAGATGCTCTGTGCTGCCTGGCCTGTGAGTTTGAGGGAATCAGTAAAGTTTGTAGGTGTGTCTCCTTTCTGCTGCTCCCTGCCTGGCCTTGGCAGCTGTGCCCTCAGAGGAGAGGGCTCTGTGCTTTGTTTCTGACTCTCTTGTCTCTGGCAGGCAGTGTCTCTCCACTCACTGTGTATGACAGGAATGGTTTCAAGGCCATGCTCCACTTCTCCAGAGACTCGGCTCCTGGGCGACCAGACGTGCTGGTGATGGTTCTTTCCATGCTGAGCACATCAGCTCAGCCCATTAAGGACATAGCATTCCAGGCTGCAGTCCCCAAGGTGAGAAGCCTGTGATGAGTGGCAGAGAGTGGGACTACCCAGAAATGTCCTGGGGAGAAGTTTCACCATTTCCTGCTTCCCATGTGCCTCACCCATTGTGTGGCTCTGGGCAGTGACCCTGGGGCACCAGAGCCCCTCCACAGAGCACCCCCTGGCCCTGTGGCACGCAGCCAGGGCTGCAGAGGGGCAGCTGTAGCCCCGGGGTGAGGTGCCCGTTCAGCCTGGGCAGGTGCAGCACAGCTCTGCTCTGTCAGCCTGTGCAGCAGGCTGCCCCAGGGCCTGCTCCCCGCGGGGTGACTGAAGCTGCCTGGGGTACCTGTAACCAGCTCCGCGGCCTGGTAGCACTGCCAGCCCCTGCTCAGCGTGGCCCAAAAAGCCTTCCCTCTGCTTTCTCCTTCAGAGCATGAGGATCAAGCTGCAGCCAGCGTCGGGCTCG